ATCCATTCACGGAAAATGTAAATAATTCGATAAATTTCGTGATATACAGTACAGTCAGAACTCGATATAACGAACCCTCCGGTTAGGCAATTTTGGATCGTTATATCGGATATTCGATAAATCAAATATTCTTAATATACCGATTATATAGTAAAAAATATAAAAATTCGGTATACCAAATTTTTATTAATAAAAAAAATGATTTTAATTGTATTACATGCTGTGCTAATTTGTTTATTATTAATATACAGGAATTATTAAATTCCAAAATTAAGGCATAAATGTCAGGTGATCTGCTGCTGCATAGTGCCAGCCGGGAATAAGTTAATTCTGACCGGAGTTAGGTGGTAATCGGCTTATCGCGAATAAATACATATGACTGGTTTATGATCAGACTTCGTTATATATAATAATAAAATCGGTATATAGTGATAAAATTTAATATAGACGGTTTTGGTTTGAGAAAAAAGTTCGTTATAGGCTAAAATCGGTTTATCACGAATCGTTATATCGTGTTCTGACTGTAATACATTATAAATCGCAAATTTTAAATTTTTTAAAATTAAGTTTTATTGATAATAAAATATTGTTTTTGACAAATAATATTTAGAAAGTAATTGTTAAAAAATTCATGTGTAACCGTTACGTTTAACCTATATAAATAATTTTAAATTGTGCAGCTGTCGGTCATGTGTACGTTCCGATGGCCAACGTTCCGATGGCCAATCTGAGAGATTTCATCGCTAATACAGTTCCGGTTAATGAAATTTTTAATTGGATTTTTTTTTTCTAATTAACTCAAAAAAAGCTTATTAATCATGTTTCATTTTCGGCCAGATCGATTACCGTAGCTATTCGATTGTTGATTTTAAAATCTTTTTCAGTCTCTTTTTTAGTCCGGATCTTTTTAAATAAAAAATAAATTACGTAATTTTAATTTAATATGTTTAATATATGAAATTGTAATTGTGTTTAAAAAAAAAAATTGTCTCAATTAAGATAAATTACGTGATAAAATGTAATAATTGTAAAATAATGAATTCATTTTTTATTTAATAAAAAAAAATTAAGAAAATAGTATTACACAAAAAGTAAATTAGATAAATATAATAAACATAAAATTTAATTTTTCCATTAATTTATTTATTATATCAAAAAATTTCATTTTTATTTTTATTTTTTTTTTTTTTGCAGTTAAATCAAGTATTTTTGTGAATCATTTTTCGTAATTTGATTTCGGGAAAATATTTTGTCTTTCGGGATAATGTCATGTCGGAAAAAGGTGTTACTCGGGAAAATGTCCATTCGGGATTTTATTTTTGAACGCGGCGATAATTGACAAATCATTCATTATAGGTTTACAATTAATACAATCGAAGAAATTAATATATATTTTTTATTTAACTAATAAAAAAATTTTTTCTATCATAAACAAAACTTGATAGATCATTCAGAAGAAAACTTCAATACTGAAATAGAACTGATACTAAACAGATGTCAATATACTGATCTTGACGATTTTACATAAAATTAAAGTTTCCAGTACAAATTGATATGGATTTCCCCATAACTGCCTAATTTCCAAAATAAATTTTTTATCGTAATTGAGAGATCATCCAGAAGAAAAAAACTTCAATACTGAAATAGAACTGATACTAAACAGATGTCTATTAATAGTAATATACTTAACTGCAATAGAGTTACTAAGTAATTTTACTATTAACCAACTATCTATTTAGTATAAAATTGAAGTTTCCAGTACAAATTGAAATGGATTTTCTCATAACTATCAATTTCCAAAATAAATTTTTTATCGTAATTGAGAGATCATCCAGAAGAAAAATACTTCAATACTGAAAATAGAACTGATACTAAACACATGTCTAATATCTTATTGAATATAACATATATATCATATATATATATTAACTATCTATCTACTTAAGTCGTGAACATGGGAGACCTCTCGAAATTTATTTGGGTATTCCCATTATTCGAAAAAAAGAAAAAAATTTTTTGCTATGTTCTGAAAAAGAAATAATAATAATAATAATAATCCATAGCTTTTATCCAGATATAAAAGATCCATTCTATAAGTATAAATTACTAACTTGTAGATAGCCTATTAATTACTCTGATTAACCAACTACCTACGTAATTCATGTAGTCACGCGCACAAAATTCCCAGATCACGTGAACTGCGAATAATATGAGTGGTTACGGTAAGATTTCAGTTTAATATAACAAATGACAAAAAATAAAAAAAAAAAATTTTTATGTAAAAATATACCTTTTATACAAATAAAATAAACCCTACATGTTTAATGCCGACACTTCTCATATTTAGTCATTTAAAATATATTAGTACTTAAAAAAGAGTGAAAGAGGAGAAGTAGAGAAACACATCTAGATGTGTATAAGAGACAGGAAGTAGGAAATATAAAGAATTTAATAGAGGGATAGAAAGGAGTAAAGGAATATAGAGGAGTAAGCGGAAGTAGAGGAGAGTTTTTTTCCGGTTGAGAAAAAATTCCAAGTTCAACCTACACATAGTTATACAAACATATGAAATCGGTGTAACCATTACATTGGATGTCATGTGCGTTTAAACATAATCATCATATGATCTACCGGCGCTTTATTTTAGCGAACGGGCCTCAGTAGTTACAGTATTTAGCATGGAAATTAATTCACCATACCATAGCGTCAAAAAATTTGAACGTCAAATTCCACAAAGTCAAAAGTCATAGTGGCGATACTTTCAATGACCTTAGCGATGATTTAACCAATATGGCGCGCTTGCTGCCGCCGTTAGAAATCAACCCAACTCGAGTTTTTGACTCTCTTATGACACCCACATGGGATTCCATCGGCCCTATTGACTGGGACCTCAGAAAATTCGCACGGAATATTACTGAATGCCGTCGTGTCTTCGATGAATTTTTAAATAGTATTGCATAAGTAAGTAATACCCGCTTTAATAAACTGAAGTAACCGACCATCATAATAAAGGGTAAAAAAAAAAAAAAAATATTGTATTCTCATAATATAAAATCATACAATTAACGTTTGTTTGCTGCTCATTAAACTTCATCATATCGTTTATAATTGTAGTTTTTATATTTTTATATTTTTGGAACTTTTGATAGTGGACAAACTTGACTATTAAAATAATTAAATTTTCACGTAAAATATCTTTTTTTTTGGTTTATCATACCAAAATAAATTTTCCATCTTGTTCATCAGCAGTTAAAATTTCGTTTAAGATTTTTGAAAAACAATTGAGAAAATAAATTTTATTTTATTTCAACAAATTTTTAACGCAAAAAACTCAAGAGGGTCGATTAATCTGTACTACAAAAAAGAAAAAAGAAAATAGGATTAGTACTTAAAAAAAGATGTCTATTAATACAAATATTATAAATATATTATTAACCAACATAAGAGAAACCTCTTAAATCTTTTTAATTAATATTTGTTTTATCGATTTATCATTAATTACTAATCACTTATGTTATATCTTGCTTTGTCGCAACTATTTGCGTCATATTTCTTATTAACCAACTTATGAGAACTTCTCGAATCTTGATAATTTCTATTGGTATTCAATTAATTAAAAAATATATTAATTATCGTTATCAGCTATCTTAGAAACCAGATTAACAAGTAATTAACCGACTAATATATATTATATTTCTTTTAGTTGGCTAATAAAAAAACAAAAATAAATAAATAAATAAACTTACCAAATTTCTATTGTAAAGTCTATTAATTAAATGATAATATCATTAGTGACAATCATAATTAACCGACTATATACGTTATATTTCTTTTAGTTGGCTACTCATAAGAAAAAAAGACGAATAAATAAATAAAAATAAAAAAATAAATTATTTGAAATAAATAATTTTTCGTACAGGATCAACGTGCACAAAACACTCAAGATCACGTAAACTCAAATACTTTTTGTATACTATTACTTCTATTACTTACAATAAAAAATTTAAAAAATTATCCATTTGATTGATTTAAGCAAATATTATAACTTTAACTCTATTAACTCTTCATGTACTAAGTTAAATATTAAAAGCATTTTAAAAAAAGAGTGTGAAATGTTGTTATTATTCAAGTGGTGAGTTAAGAGTAGGAGTAGAGGAGTGAAGGAGTAGAAGAGTGAAGCGGGAGTAGAGGAGTAAAGAGTAGAGTATTTTTTTTATCTGATACAGCCAAGCATATGAATCTTATGAAACCAGTTACGTAACTGTTACATGTAGTCATGTACTTTTGAAAATTACTAACCCTGATAAGCTAATCTCAAAAAATGTTTCCATTAGAGGGTTCGTTCTATTGTACACCAATTATCGGTAGATAAATTTATTTTGAACGCGGCGATAATTGACAAATCAAAAATTTCATTTATTACAGGTTTACAATTAATACAATCGAAGAAATTAATATATATTTTTTATTTAACAAATAAAAAAAATTTTTTCTATCATAAACAAAACTTGATAGATCATTTAGAAGAAAACTTCAATACTGAAATAGAACTGATACTAAACAGATGTCTATTAATAATATACTTGTCTTAACGCTTAACGACACAGTAATACTATTAACCAACTATCTTGCATAAAATTGAAATTTCCAGTACAAATTGAAATGGATTTTCTCTTAACTACCAATTTCCAAAATAAATTTTTTATCGTAATTGGGAGATCATCCAGAAGAAAAATACTTCAATACTGAAAATAGAACTGATACTAAACACATGTCTAATATCTTATTGTATATATATTAATATCTATCTACTTAAGTGAGAGACCTCTCGAAATTTATTTGGGTATTCCCATTATTCGAAAAAAAGAAAAAAATTTTTTGCTATGTTCTGAAAAAGAAAAAAAATAATAATAATAATCCACAGCTTTTATCCAGATATAAAAGATCCATTCTATAAGTATAAATTACTAACTTGTAGATAGTATATTTTTAGAAAAAAAATGTTTCAAAGGATTATTGCATCTGTACGAACGAAACTTTATTCACTATGGACATTAATATTTAGGCAAGCAAAATGCCAGAAATCAGGCTTAATTGTCTTGTTGTTCCTAGCGATTCAGTTGGGAGAATTACACAACTTACAATCAAAATTAACAACAATGAATTCGTCCATTCTCCCAGATCACAAATTAAAAAAGAACATATATACTCCCCGATTTGATAATATTCCAATTACTGAATTTGTAGTCCGTGCAATTCCCTTAAATTCAGATAAAGTGCTAGCATCGGTTAATGCTGAAGGAGTGATGATAAGCGTGAATATTGGGAGACAGGATGAAGTACAGGCGCTGTTTCCAATGCTCAATATTCTTGATCATTTTCCCAAGCAACCTTCTGAAAAAGATATTCATATTATAATTTATTTAGATATTAAAACACCCCAGTAATGAAATGAATAGCGATATAGTCACAAATTTTTATGTAATGTAGGCCGGCTTCCGGCAAGGTTTTTTTTATTTTTTAAATAAAGCATATATTATAAATCTTGAAAAATATCACGTGTAATGATGTAATATAATCGCCTGACAATCCTGTACTACAAGTGCATTATGAATCGATACAAAAAAATCTATCATTTCTACCCGAGCGCTTTACTTCGGAAACCAAAAATACTTTTATATCCATAAACCATCTTTACCTGTAACTGCTGTCGGGTGCATAAATTTTTTCGCAAGCACAAACTTACATATATAAAAACCATGTCTTCACAAGCCTCTACACCTTCTTCTCCAAGCTCAATAACGGAAGAAATTTCCACTAGAACAATGTCGGACGTGGTTAAGGATTTTAATACAGAGGAGCTTATCGATTATTTGGGGAGGAAAGACCTGAAGCTCAAGGAGACTCACTTTAAAATTTTACGCAAGGAAGAAATTACTGGTCTTGCCTTTCTCAAGTTAACTAAAGAGGACTTTCGCAGTATTGGCTTCGCTTTAGGTCCAGCAACAGTTCTCGCAGAAATCATTGAAGTTCTTGGCCAAAAAATAAGGAACTATTCCTCGCTTAAAACTCTCGTAAAAATAAGGTCAATGGGGAAGACATAATAAACATCAAGCAGTTTACTCCTGGTAAGTAATTAATTAATTTTCGAAACTAACTAGATAGCCATGTTAACTTTATTTTTCTTTGTAGTCTTCGAGGAGATCAATGATGATGATAAGGCATTCGAACACTGTATGGAAGACATTATATTAAAACTTTCAAATGTGGAAACCATGACCGACGCCAACGAGGCGACGCGCTGTGAATTTATTTCATCGATTCTCCATGCATCCATCGCTATAGCTAAAAAACTTACCTCCCAAGATATATTTATAGTTTTACAGAAAGATATATCCGGTGAGGATGCAACAGGCAGAGTAGACTACGCAATCAAAGTCTGGAAGACCTCCTCTGTATTACCAAAGGGAAGCCACGCAATATTAAGATTGGTTATGCTCAGGTAAGTCTAATACTTGACTCATGTTTTAGAAGTTTCAATAACATTAATGCATTTTATTTCTTAGAGTCTGGCGCAACTCGAGAGTGCATTTCAAACAAATAAGAAAAAACGAACTGCAGATCAAGCATTCGGGAATGACTATTTTGACTATATCTATGGTATTGTGACCACAAGTACAGAGTGGCACTTTATTATATACACTCCGGATGGTATTTATTGTACGAGCGGTAGTGAGTACCAGATTAACCTCACGAAATCCTCCATCAAAGATAGTCCTGAACTACTTCGTAGTAATGTGAAAAGGGTAATTGGCATCATTGTAGGGTTGTTAAAAGATAGAGTTAGTGTAGATAGTTCTCCTGATAGTAAGAGGGCTAGGATCAAAAAAATTATCAAAAAATAATATGGATCGGTGACCTCCTTTGTATTTACTTTTTTGTGTTGTATCATGAAAATTTTTCTTGGAAAAGTGATCAGTGTTATGAAAAGTTACGCTACATGGGAAGCAAAGCACTCTAACAGGTTCATCTATCAACCAAGACCAACTGGAGAGGCAATAAGCGTTCAAGCTGGGAAAGCAACCATATTTCATTTCAGGCAATCTCTCCCGAAGTAGGATTATGCACTGGGTTTCAACTTTCAATACCACAAAATTTTTACTCAAGTGTGATCACCCTTCTGAATTTTCCGTGTTTTATTATTTTAGAAATTTACATGTTATCGTTTCACAATAAAATTAATGTATACAATAAAGCTAAATGTGCATCACATGTAAATTTTTCTTTATTTATTCAGTAAAAATAAAACATCACTAGTTAAGTAGCAATAGAAAACCTAATTGAAATAATCAAAAAGAAGCAAATAAGCGCTATCCCTCGCAGTACTGTTTACGACCTATTTTTTTTATGAATCAACGTTCTTTCCTTGAGGTGCTTCAGGTTGTTCGTGAGGCTGATTCGCAAATGGAGGTGTGAAAAACAATCTTAGGTTTGGGTTTGCATAAAGTTGAAACAAATTTCCCGTTGTCTGCGCGAAAGTCTGCAAAAGATTTTGTTTACTTAATTTTTGACTTCTGATGTATAAACTTTTCAGATTATAATTACCTGAGTTAATCGTTCAATTTCTGTTTCTAATTTCTTAATTTCCATTTTTAATTTATGAGTCTCCTGTATAGCGTTACCAGAATTGATTTCCAATTGCACTTGTTGGTTCTTTAATCCCAATGAATAATTAAAGAATGCAAGGATTGTAACACCGTTCAAAATTATAAGGAGTGAAATACCGAACATAAGTTTACAACAAGTTAATTGATTCATTTTATTTAATTCTCTAATCGGAAGAAAATAATCACTTCTATTTTTAAGTGAATTTTGTTTTAAATACATCATGAAAAGACTGATAAACTCTGATAAAACTGATCAAATAATTTATACTAAAATCTGAGACAGGTTAAGCCGTAGCGTGGCACAGCAAAAAATTATAAAAATAGCTTTTAAAAATTACTATTTTCGTCTATATAAAAACGTAACACTATGTCAGGTGATAAGTGTGAATAGTCTTTACAGTTAGGGAGGCGCAGTGATTCGATTGTTGCCAGTTCATAATTGGTTGAACGGGATATTTGGTGCCTTATGTTTATCAAACCTTGAACTTTGATCATGAAATTAGTGTAACATGACAAAAAAAGCCGATCGAACAATTATGAACTGGCCTTATGGCTGATCACAAACAAATTTTTTCACATCAGTATTTTTTCGCAAATAAAATTCTTGTTCTCACTTACCGCACTTTGAACCAATAGCATTTCGCAAAAAATCCTATATAAACTGAAAACATGTCTATCACGTTACTCTGCCTCATCAAAGGAAATAAGACCGCAAACGCTTTTCCTGTTGATATTAATAAGGACCAGCTTGTTGGCCACCTTAAAAAAGTTATTAGGAAAGAGATAGATGTTCCTGAAAATGTCAAGGCGAAAGACTTGAAACTATGGAATGTGAAGATCCCTGACGATCAGGATGATCTTTTAAGCAATCCCACACTCAATGACGAGGATGAACTCCTTGCAACAAAAAAGATTTTGAAATACTTTTCAGACTCACCTCCCAAAGAACATATCCATGTTATTATAAAATTACCACGTAAGTGTCTAGAGCTTTGGTACAGTCTATAATTTTTCATTTACCATCGTAATATTAACATGTATTCATTTCCGGTTCTTAGCTTGAAAGAGGCGTTGTCATGTATTCCACCACCCATAACATATTCTTCAAAATGTACTACATCAAAGAACTCTACAAAGGTTAATGGTGTCCTTCTGACAAATGTACAACTTTGGGGTGACTTTTTCAAGGAAGTGAATCAGTTCCGCTTCGAACAATAACCGATATTTGAGAGGCCACAATTTATTCAAGATAAAGTGGTATTAAATGAGGAGGATGTTCATGTTGCTATTGACGTCAACATTTGTATAATGTTAAATAGGTTTATGGAATCAGAATATGATTTTTCAAAATGACCTCCTAACACTCCTGGCATACCAGATTTCACCTGTCATCTCGTGGGTTCATTGATCTTGCTAAAAGAAAGAATGTTTAGAAGATATGGGTGAACAAACATTTCCTGAGTTTTATCAGACGAGTAAATGCAAAGACGTGATTCAACAAATCTACAATTATATGGGCAGAAATGAACTTAGATATGATGTTCTCACCACTATGATAATCACTGGTTCTTATGTTGAGAGCTTTGGATCTCAAAAACTCTTCCACTGCAGTCTGAATCTCCACCTGTACTCAAGGCATATGCTTATCTAACTCGACGGGTAAAAGAGAATTCTAAGTCTCTTAAACCTCAAGTAGTAGTACCAGTTCAAGGAACAATAATTCACGTACTTTTCAATCACATTCAAAATCGCTTTTCAGTTCATCAATAAGCCAACTACTAACTTCCGTGAATCAACAATCATCTTCTAACATCCCGTAAACCAGCAAAATTATAACTTCACAGACTTCAAGTTTAAAAGTATACTAGGTGAGGGACGCAGTGGTAAAACACTGCTGTGTGAGTTTTGTGATAATACGATTGCTTTGAAGAGTGTTGACTTATCGAAGGCCCCACCATATGTTCTGGAAGAAATGCAAAAAGAAGTTGAGATTTATAAAGACCTCGTTGACATTCAAGGCAAGTACATTTTAAAATTAATCTGTTATGGATATTATGGAGGAGGTATGAGCTTCGTTATCAGTATGATCATTGTTGGTACTATATTGAGCAAGCATAATATAATAAAACGTCAAAGAACAAAGGCTCTAAAGGGGTTAGAAGCAATCCACAAGTATGGCATCCTCCATAATGACATTCGAGAGGAAAACATCTTAATTAATGACAATGACGACATCTACCTGATTGACTTCGGAATGGCAAGTCAGGAGGACACAAAAAAGAAGAGAAAGCTTTTCGACAAGAACAGCTCAAATATTCTAACTTGCTAGATAGATATAAAGCGTAAGAATTTATTATTAATAAATTCCTATATTGTGATTCTTGTAACTTTAGTTTCTCATTATTAATAAATATGAACTTTATAGCAGTCATATTGTAAAGAACGCGAGGTGAATTTTTAAGTTACGTAAATGCCAAATAGTTAGTTAGATTGTAGGAATAGATCCTAGCACAGACGTCATGTATCATAATATCCTGAACATTTGTATTTATTTTTCGCATGTATTAATAAAATACCATGAATATTCTTCTCGCTTATCATCACTTGATATGCAAAACTATGAAATCCTGAGACTGTAACGTGCATCACGATCTCAAATTTTAGCACTTTTTTATATGAAGTATTTGTAAAGTATGGTATTTGTAATTTGGTATGACTATTAAGTCAGTTGTGTAACTGATCAACTGATGAGTTGGATCAATCTGTGTGATAATTGATTTCTTATATATATCCCAAATTTCCATATTGCAAAAAAAAAGATCTCTTTTCTGTTTGTCCATTGTCATACAAATAAAAACGTATAAAATGTTTACAGTTGGAACGTCCATCAGACTTTGGTGCCTTATTGGTAGGGACAACTTTATTATCGACCTCAAAGAAATTATCAAGAATAGGAAGCAAAATAAGTTTGCTAAGGTTGATTTCGATCAACTCATTCTATGGAAAGTCAACATTGATCAAAGTCAAATTAAGACCACTTCTATTAACGATATATTAAATGATGAAGACAAATTAGAAAACTCAGGATTAACAGTTGTAAAAACCTTTCCAAACACCAAAGGAAACAATGTTAAAGTTATCATAGGAGTGCCTGCTCTCGTTGGTGAGTTATAACAAATATAGTTAGCATGATAGTTATAACTCTTCGCCAATAATACCAAATACTTACTTATTCTTGTGCTTTTCTTTTCTGCTTCTTATTGTCAAACCCGCCCAAAAAATACATTCGCATTATCATAGAGCAACCTGATGCTGGTAACTAAGTGAGTCGTAATAAATTTTATCAACGCGAGTGAACGAGACATTGTTTTAACTTTTCATTCTTGTTATTTAATAATCAATGAAAATACTTAAAGTCGAAGAAAAGGGTAAGTAACTACCTTCAGATATATACTCTTTTTTTCTTCATCTAGAAAATGTTTGATAACTTGTACTATTTCTTATCTCTAGCTATATACTACCAATATAATCAATCAAAGGTAATTCCTATGAAAAACAGCATATGGAATGATTTTGTTAAATTATTTGAAAGCCTTCAAAAACTTTTTGATCCTATAGGCTCAATGATAGATTATAACTTTATTATTGCGAATAAAAGAGTAAAATTTGACTCTAAAGAAGTCTTCGTTGAATTCATTGATAAATACCAAATTCGCTTAGAAATCCTGTTATAATATTAGATACTATAAAAGGTATGTAATCATTTGTCGATTATAAAATAAATCATTGTCTAACATAACAATTTTCAGGCCCCTGCATGACATATACAGAACTTCTAGATACTTTACCAATGTCATCAAAACTTGGAGAACCTGAAGAATGGTATTTTAATAACCGCAATAAAGCTATTTGTCTCAATCACCACCCGCCATCAGCTTCTAACACCGTACCTGTTATCCTACATTGTTTGATTTTCGGTATATTTAAAGATCACTGTGAGGAAGATCTAGAACACAGTGATAACCTATAATTTTTGTCTTGAGATGGCTAAATTTTATACTAAAGAAGAAGAGTATCGAAATAAAGCAAATAATTTATTATCAAAATATCTTGATTGTAGAGTAGATTGACAGAAATTAAAGTACTGATGGTACGGTCAATTTATATCATAAAATTAACATTAAATACAAAAATGAGTCATGTTTGACCAAATCCTATGCAGCTGTGCTTATCTCGAAAACTGTAGATACTATTTATTATTTTGTAAGAACCAGAAAAATACTAATACTAATATGCCATGTTTCTTGGTTAATATTGCAGGTATATCTATAAACTTGCATTGATATATCTTTACTGAATTTGTGAATAACTTAGTACTAGATCTCAGGGCCTACCTTCACTGTATATGGTGCTGTGCTTTCAGATACTGCTATAGTGGATCTTTTTATCCCGACCTATCACCTTATTTAGCTCAAGAATAATGAAAAGATGATGTCATTATTTTCCAGAGCATTTCATGCTTTGAGGTTATCTCTTCAAGAACTAGACAAGTATTATAGAAATGTACCTCAAATTTACTACCGCCAATATCCTTTATTTCTTGATTTGACGTTAACAAGCCAATCGGAAGAAGTCACAAGTCCACAACTTTTAAAGTTAGAATTGATTTCCAATATGGTAGTTATCTGCTTTGAAATACTACACTTCAAGCAGATAACAAAATACAAGAATTTTCAGTATATGTGAAAGCTGTTTAAAGAAAATATTACTCACCTCAAGCACAAAGAATTTTATATGAGAATAGACATTATGCTCTATCATAGCCACCAGAAATAGGCCTGAAGGTTGGCTTTTGATTTATATAGAATGTCTGTAAAATCATGTAACATTAGATAAAATCTTAATAGTGGGAAGCGGAATTCCCTAAGAACGGAAATCATTAGAGTAGTTAAAATTTTATATGATAATAATTTTATGCACAGAGACTTGTGATGTAACTGTAAATATTGGACTTAATCATATGAAATAGATAAGTAATATAACGAAAAGAAGATCACATGATAATAGATCACATGATATGATACGATATTTATGATTGGATCATGTGATAGAAGTTATATGATATAATCACGTGATAATTATGAGATAAAAGATAATAGAAAGTCACGTAAAAAGTAAGTCACATAATGGAGGTCTTCACAAAAAACATGATTGAGATTG